GGGGCCCCTTAGGGGGGGGCCTCCCCTTGGCTGCTGCCCCCCCCCGAATCTCCAGGGGCCCCGGTCCCGGCCTCCCTTTGCTGCGGGCCCCGGTCCACACTCTGCCATTCCCAAACTTTCAGGTCTCCTTCACACTGCGGGGTTTTTCCCCATTTTTTGCCCAAAAGGGTGCTGGCAGATTAGGGGCCTCCATACCCCTGCTGCCGGGCCCCTAATCTGCCATGGGCCCCTATAACCCCCCCCCTCTGCTGCTGCCGGGTTTCCAAAAGAGTCTTTCAGGGGCCCTGTAGGGGCCTCCCATTGCTGTGTCTCCATCGCCACCCCCTCTGCCATGTGCCACTTTCTGGGGTTTCTCCTCAAAAGGGCTGGTGTGTTCCTTTTTTTGTCAAGGGTGCTGGCAGTTTAAAAGGGGCCCCCTACCTGGCTGCTGCCGGGCCCCAAATCGCCATGGGCCCCAATACCGCCTCCCCCATGCTGCGCCATTCCAGAGTCTTTTCAGGGGTCCCTGAAAGGCCCTCCCATTGCTGCTGCCCTCCATCGCCACACCCCCTTGCCATGTCCCACTTTAAAGGTCCCCTCAAACTGCTGGTTTTTTTTCATAGGGTGCTGGCAGATTACGGGAGCCTCCCATAGCTGCTGCCCAGGCCCTAATCTGCCTGGCCCCTATACCGCCTCCTCATGCTGCTGCCAGGTCCAGAGTCTCTCATGGGTCCCTGTACGGCCCTCCCATTGCTGCTGTCTCCATCGCCACAACTCTTCGCCATGTGCCACTTTTCAGGTCTCCTCACACTGCTGGTGTGATTCCATTTTTTGTCATAGGGTGCTGGCATATTACGGGCCTCCCATAGCTGCTGCCAGGCCCCTAATCTGCCATGGGCCCCTGTACCGCCTCCTCATGCTGCTGCCAGGTCCACAGTGTCTCATGCCATGTGCCACTTTCAGGTCTCCTCACACTGCTGGTGTGTTCCATTTTTTTGTCATAGGGTGCTGGCAGATTACGGGCCTCCCATTGCTGCTGCCAGGCCCCTAATCTGCCATGGGCCCCTATACCGCCTCCCTCATGCTGCTGCCAGGTCCAGAGTCTCTCATGGGTCCCTGTACGGCCTCCCATTGCTGCTGTCTCCATCGCCACACTCTGCCATGTGCCACTTTCAGGTCTCCTCACACTGCTGGTGTGTTCCATTTTTTGTCATAGGGTGCTGGCAGATTACGGGCCTCCCATAGCTGCTGCCAGGCCCCTAATCTGCCATGGGCCCCTGTACCGCCTCCTCATGCTGCTGCCAGGTCCAGAGTCTCTCATGGGTCCCTGTACGGCCTCCCCCATTGCTGCTGTCTCCATCGCCACACTCTGCCATGTGCCACTTTCAGGTCTCCTCACACTGCTGGTGTGTTACCATTTTTTGTCATAGGGTGCTGGCAGATTACGGGCCTCCCATTGCTGCTGCCAGGCCCCGTAATCTGCCATGGGCCCCCGTACCGACTCCTCATGCTGTGACGTTGCAACAAGGTGGAATTCAACCCTACATATGTTAGACCCGCCTTTACGAACAGCGAAAGGCCATCACAGATTTCCTGATGTTACAAGCGGATAAAGGTACTCCCTGTGTAACTTAGATGTCAGCCATTGGCAGCTCATGCGTGACACCTGCGCTTGCTCAGGCCCTTTGAGGAGGCCACGCTATTCGTGAGTCGGCAGGACTATGGGATGAACGACGTCATTCCTCTGTTGCACGTCCTGGAACAAATGCTGTTAACAATGGCTGGTCAGGGTGCGGTAGACGTGGCGCACAGATCTCAACGCCACATGACCCCTGTGGGGGCAGGACAGGAAGAAGAGGGAGGAGGTAGAGGAGGACATTGGTGCTCAGGAATTATTGAGTGAAATGGGTGGTTTTTCCACTCAGCGGACAGGAGTGGAGGAGCAGGAGCATCTGGTAGAGGAGGAGGAGAGGAGACAGAGGACCCAGACGCACCGTGGCAGTATGCTGTGGAGATGGAGGCAGGGAGTCCCTCGCATTCCTTGGCACAAATGGCCCATAGCATGCTCGGTTGCTTGCGTAGCGACAGCCGAATAATAACCATCAGACAGAGGGATGACTTTTGGCTGTCCACCTTGTTGGACCCTCGCTACCGTTCAATAATGGTGGCCTTTTTCACACCTGCTGCTGAGAGGGAGGCCAAAATAACGTACTATAAAAACCACCTATGTAGTCAGCTGGTCTCTGCCTTTCTGCGCCAACGTCATTAACGGGGCTCCCCCTCAGACACTGTGGGCCCTGTGCGCTCGCGTTCCGCTGCCATGGCAGCAGGGGAGGGGTGGGGTGTGGTAGGAGCAGTGGCAGCTCCACCAGCAGCGGCTGCTGCCTCAGTCTGCAGTCGATGATGAGTAGCTTTCTTCACCAGCGCAGTGAGGAAACTACTAACCAGCCGCCGCAGCAGCAGCAGCATCAGGTGGACCTGGAGCAGGACCTCAAACAACAGGCTTAGGCCTACTTGGACAGCACCCTGCCAACCGAGGTAGACAATCCCCTTGACTACTGGGCAACGAAACTTGACCTTTGGCCCCAACTAGCTGAATTTGCCCTTGAAAGGCTGTCATGCCCGGCCAGTAGCGTGGCATCGGAGCGCGTGTTTAGTGCGGCAGGAGGTATTGTAACTCCGCGGAGGACACGACTGTCCACCCAAAGTGTGGAGAGACTCACGTTTGTGAAAATGAATCAGGCGTGGATTAGTCTGGATTTCAAACCACCAGTTCCTGACACAACTGACTAAATCCGCCATGAATCATGCCCCAAACATGTGCCACTTTCAGGTCTCCTCCTCTCACACTGCTGGTGTGTTCCATTTTTTGTCATAGGGTGCTGGCAGATTACGGGCCTCCCATTGCTGCTGCCAGGCCCGTAATCTGCCATGGGCCCCTGTACCACCGCCTCCTCATGCTGCTGCCAGGTCCAGAGTCTCTCATGGGTCCCTGTACGGCCTCCCATTGCTGCTGTCTCCATCGCCACACTCTGCCATGTGCCACTTTCAGGTCTCCTCACACACTGCTGGTGTGTTTCCATTTTTTTGTCATAGGGTGCTGGCAGATTACGGGCCTCCCATAGCTGCTGCCAGGCCCCTAATCTGCCATGGGCCCCTGTACCGCCTCCTCATGCTGCTGCCAGAGTCAGTCTCTCATGGGTCCCTGTACGGTCCCACAGTGTCTCATGCCATGTGCCACTTTCAGGTCTCCTCACACTGCTGTTGTGTTCCATTTTTTGTCATAGGGTGCTGGCAGATTACGGGCCTCCCATTGCTGCTGCCAGGCCCGTAATCTGCCATGGGCCCCTGTACCGCCTCCTCATGCTGCTGCCAGGTCCAGAGTCTCTCATGGGTCCCTGTACGGCCTCCCATTGCTGCTGTCTCCATCGCCACACTCTGCCATGTGCCACTTTCAGGTCTCCTCACACACTGCTGGTGTGTTCCATTTTTTGTCATAGGGTGCTGGCAGATTACGGGCCTCCCATAGCTGCTGCCAGGCCCCTAATCTGCCATGGGCCCCTGTACCGCCTCCTCATGCTGCTGCCAGGTCCACAGTGTCTCATGCCATGTGCCACTTTCAGGTCTCCTCACACTGCTGGTGTGTGTTCCATTTTTTGTCATAGGGTGCTGGCAGATTACGGGCCTCCCATTGCTGCTGCCAGGCCCGTAATCTGCCATGGGCCCCTGTACCGCCTCCTCATGCTGCTGCCAGGTCCAGAGTCTCTCATGGGTCCCTGTACGGCCTCCCATTGCTGCTGTCTCCATCGCCACACTCTGCCCATGTGCCACTTTCAGGTCTCCTCACACTGCTGGTGTGTTCCATTTTTTGTCATAGGGTGCTGGCAGATTACGGGCCTCCCATAGCTGCTGCCAGGCCCCTAATCTGCCATGGGCCCCTGTACCGCCTCCTCATGCTGCTGCTGCCAGTGTCCACAGTGTCTCATGCCATGTGCCACTTTCAGGTCTCCTCACACTGCTGGTGTGTTCCATTTTTTGTCATAGGGTGCTGGCAGATTACGGGCCTCCCATTGCTGCTGCCAGGCCCCCGTAATCTGCCATGGGCCCCTGTACCGCCTCCTCATGCTGCTGCCAGGTCCACAGTGTCTCTCATGGGTCCCTGTACGGCCTCCCATTGCTGCTGTCTCCATCGCCACACTCTGCCATGTGCCACTTTCAGGTCTCCTCACACACTGCTGGTGTGTTTCCATTTTTTGTCATAGGGTGCTGGCAGATTACGGGCCTCCCATAGCTGCTGCCAGGCCCCTAATCTGCCATGGGCCCCTGTACCGCCTCCTCATGCTGCTGCCAGGTCCACAGTGTCTCATGCCATGTGCCACTTTCAGGTCTCCTCACACTGCTGGTGTGTTCCATTTTTTTGTCATAGGGTGCTGGCAGATTACGGGCCTCCCATAGCTGCTGCCAGGCCCCTAATCTGCCATGGGCCCCTGTACCGCCTCCTCATGCTGCTGCCAGGTCCACAGTGTCTCATGCCATGTGTGCCACTTTCAGGTCTCCTCACACTGCTGGTGTGTTCCATTTTTTGTCATAGGGTGCTGGCAGATTACGGGCCTCCCATTGCTGCTGCCAGGCCCGTAATCTGCCATGGGCCCCTGTACCGCCTCTTCATGCTGCTGCCAGGTCCAGAGTGTGTCATGGGTCCCTGTACGGCCTCCCATTGCTGCTGCCAGGAGGCAGCAGGGTCGCAGCAGTGTCAGTGGAGGCAAACGGCCACGGAGTAGAGCACCAGCTCCACTGCATCCTACCACCACGGCCAGTAGTGGGTGCCGGTGTGCACGGAGGAAGTAGCAGTCAGCCAGTGAGGAGTAGCGGGGGCAAAGTTTCCTACTCGGCGGTGTGGCAATTTTTTCGTCAAGCCGCCCGAGGAAGTAAACGTAGCCGTATGTCGACTATGTGGCCAGAAAGTCAAGCGTGGCCAGGGGGCCCATGTTGGGACTACAGCGTTGCGTCAGCATATGCAGCGTCGCCATTCGGTGGCCTGGGAAAACCGTGATAAAGATACGGCAGTTCTGCCTGCCCCAGCCCAGGGTTCCATTTTGTCATAGGGTGCTGGCAGATTACGGGCCTCCCATTGCTGCTGCCAGGCCTTAATCTGCCATGGGCCCCTGTACCGCCTCCTCATGCTGCTGCCAGGTCCACAGTGTCTCATGGGTCCCTGAACCGTCCTCCCATTGCTGCTGTCTCCATCGCCACACTCTGTCATGTGCCACTTTCAGGTCTCCTCACACTGCTGGTGTGTTACATTTTTTGTCATAGGGTGCTGGCAGATTACGGGCCTCCCATTGCTGCTGCCAGGCCCGTAATCTGCCATGGGCCCCAGTACCGCCTCCTCATGCTGCTGCCAGGTCCACAGTCTCTCATGGGTCCCTATACGGCCTCCCATTGCTGCTGTCTCCATCGCCACACTCTGTCATGTGCCACTTTCAGGTCTCCTTCACACTGCTGGTGGGTTCCATTTTTTGTCATAGGGTGCTGGCAGATTACGGGCCTCCCATAGCTGCTGCCAGGCCCCTAATCTGCCATGGGCCCCTGTACCGCCTCCTCATGCTGCTGCCAGGTCCAGAGTCTCTCATGGGTCCCTGTACGGCCTCCCATTGCTGCTGCCAGGCCCGTAATCTGCCATGGGCCCCCGTACCAACTCCTCATGCTGTTGCCAGGCCCGTAATCTGTCATGGGCCCCTGTACCGCCTCCTCATGCTGCTGCCAGGTCCAGAGTGTGTCATGGGTCCCTGTACGGCCTCCCATTGCTGCTGTCTCCATCGCCACACTCTGCCATGTGCCACTTTCAGGTCTCCTCACACTGCTGGTGGTTTCCATTTTTGTCATAGGGTGCTGTATGGCCTCCCATTGCTGCTGCCTCCACCGCCACACTGTGGCTCCACACTCTGGTTTTGGCCCCGTGACTGCCCAAATGAGTGAAGTGTGCGGTGATTCTAAGATCGACGGCACTCATCTGCATGTCATACTGACTGTCAGTATTATTTCTCTTCCCCAGCAGACTCCAAGGGCATTTAAATTAAAGGTACAGTGTTCTGCACTAATATAAAGGCTCTCTCTGAAGCCTAGAAACACCCTTTTATAAGTTAAATTCGCAGCGAATATATTCGACTCGAATCGAAATTTTTTCACGAATTCGCCGAATCAGTCGAATC